ACAATAGTTTTCAGAAGATTATTGGGATGGCACCATTTGAGGCGTTATACGGCCGACCGTGTCGATCGCTTGTTTGTTGGATGGAGGTTGGTGAGAGCAGATTCTTGGGTCCTGAGTTTATTAAGGATACTTCTGAGAAGATAGCTCTTATTCACGATCACATGCGTACTGCCCAGAGTAAGTAAAAGAGTTATGCTGATTGTCGCACTCGTGCTTTGGAGTTTAAGGTTGGGGATCAGGTTCTTCTCAAAGTCTCGCCTATGAGGGGTGTTATGCGCTTTGGGAAGAAAGGGAAGTTGTCTCCACGGTTTGTTGGTCCTTTTATGATTACGGATCGAGTTGGAGTTGTGGCTTATCGATTGGCACTTCCGGATAACTTGGATCGCGTTCATAACGTGTTCTATGTTTCCATGTTGCGAAAAAATTTGCGAGATGAGGATCAGTACCAGCATATCGATGTTGGGGAGATTGAGTTGCAGCCGGATGCAACTTATTTGGAGCCGCCGTGTCGTATTGTAGACCGACGGAATCAGATTCTTCGTAACAAGGTTATTCCTTTGGTACTTGTTCAATGGAGTCATCACAATTAGGCTGAATCCACTTGGGAACGGGAGGATGTCATTCGCTCACAGTTTCTTGACATATTGGAAGAAGGTAAGAGCGAATTCCGAGGACAAAATTCCTTTTGTTAGGGAGGAAGAATGTAATACCCCAAATTTCAAAAGGATAGTCCTGGTATTTAATTTTCAATTTATGTTTTAATTGACTTTTTAATTGTTTAATTATTTTTGAATTATTTGACGTACTTGACTTATTTGTATTATTTGAATTAATTCTTTGGTTTACTTGTTTCCTTTGATTTATTAAATTGTTGAATTCTTAGATTTATTTAGCTTACATTAAGTGCCGCATTTTTGTGACTGGATTTATTACCTGTTTAATTGTTAATATTGCTTAAATTTTTTTATTTAATTTTGTTGATTTTTTTTTAATTGATTTGTTTGTAATTGGTTTAATTATTTTAGAGGCAACTTAACTGTTTTAAATTATTAGGGTTTTGTTAATTTCATCGTGTTTTAGTCTGAGCCGACCTGTTGGTGGTTTAGGATTAAGGTTAGGGTTTCAACTTAAGCCTATAAATACATATGTTTACATCTGCTAAGGGTTTTTGTAAACCCTATTCACTATAGTCACGTATACAGTGATAAAGAGGGTTGTGAGGGCAGAGAAACAGAGAGTGAGTAATTTACAGAGAGGACTTAGGAAGGCAGAGCAAGGAAAACTAAAACTCAGAGACGTGGATTCAGTGTTTCAACTTTGAAACTGAAGGCAAGTCTTGTTCTTCTCTATCTCTTTAATCTGTGTTCTGTGCGTATTTAGGAAGACTCCAGGAATTAAACTAAGGCTTAATTATAACCTTTATGCATGTTTAATTAATGTTTAAATTCATGGAATTGAACCTGTTCTTTGTTGTTTCAGAAAGATAGTAAAGAAACTGTAGTTCTGTAACCTTGCTCCGTTCTGTAGTGATTTGTTTTCAATTTAAGTTTGATGGTATATCATTGTTTTACAATCAATCTGGAACTGAATTAGACCTTAAAACATGCACTAAAAGATTACTGCAAGAACTGGTACTCACAGTAAACAGAGAAGACGACGAAGCGGACGAAGCGGACGAAGCTGCTAAGGGGAAAAGGGAGCAGGCTCTTAGAACCCCTTAAAGCCGGCTCCTAGAAGGTAGAGTCGGCTCTAGGATGATGTGGAGCCGGCTCTAATGAGCCTAGAGCCGGCTCTGAAGAAAAGAAGAGCAGGCTCTTTTAAATTTCTAGAGCCTGCTCTCTCTTAAACTGTCCAGAAACTGCATTTTGTGGTCCGTTTGGCTGAGGTTGGAATTTTTAAAATTAATTGAAAGCTACTGAAGGTTGTAATTTAAGGTTTAAGACTTATAAAAGTGTTGGGAAACAAGCCTACATTCAAATAATGAGGATGGAATTAATCCGAGGTTAGATAGAAAACTGGTAGGAGGATGAATGGAAATTAAATTTCTGTTGTTTACTGATTTTGGAATTTTGCTTCCTCTGCCAAATCTTAAACTGCTAATCATGTTTATGTTGTGATACAAGCATATAGTAGTATAGTCAAATGTATGCATGGATGGAATTAACTGATCGTGTAAACGGGATATGGATTGCATCAGTTATGGTAATTGTTGGAGAAGTAAATTGCATGTCTTTGTTTGTCATTTAACGGACTGTAATTTGGATTTCTTGGTTTAATACTGTTTTAATTATATGTACACAGTTTTCTAAGTATAGTAAATTCCTGGAATTAGCTATGTTTGGTTGGAAGTAAATTGATATAACAATTCAGTTAATTTTATCAATTAATGGACTTGATGCATGATGTAAATGTTGTGTTTTATAAATAACAAATTTAATGGTTGGAATATAATTTCTAGGCTTGGACTAAATGCCTAAGTTTTATAATTATGGATTGATTTGGTTTGTGCATGTTTTGGGAGTTGGGTTGATGACTATCTAGTACTGTTTTATCAACTCTGTTAACTAGAGGATGATATGTACCGGTATAGGACGGTGACATACTAGGTATGGACTAATTCCAATACTAAGTCCTACCTAATTTGGATTAAGGTATGGATTAATCATAAAGATTAAGTCCATCACCTACATGTGTCATATCAATTATGAATTGAATGACCTACTATGGTTTCAGGATGGATTGGTTATACATATATCAGACCACTACACAGATGGATGGTATATTGTATTAGGAGGAGTTCGGACTTTATATATATATATTATACGGTGCCGTGGAATGAGCTTGAGTTTCATGACCATGGTTAGGACGCGTATATCGCCTAGGATGGATAACTGGACATAGGTGTTGTTCCCTGGTAGGTCTTAGTACTCATGCCCACCTTAGGGTGCGTATTCGCATGTTGCCTTCTATTCAGGCTGAGATAGACCTATTGGACTAGCGAGCGTCCTCTAGTGTGTACTATATATCTATATGGACTACTCTAGATATTGTTGAGTCTTCCTAGGATGTATTTGCATATCGGATTACTGTATGGATTGTAGTAGATCAGGACTTGCATGTGGGCCTGACCCACTTCTTTATTTTTCAGGTGCTCGTCAGATCCAGGGTTAGAGTTTGGACATGCAAAGCTGATACAGCTATTCATTCCTCCGATTATGTAGGAATCTTCTCTATGTTAGTTTTGGATTCTATTTTTATATTTTTTTTTAGTATCTTTTGGAGAATTTTAATAAGGGGTCCAATGAATGAATTCCCGAGTTGTAAACTTATGGAGTTTTGGATTATCAGGTTTTAAGTATTTAATTATAAAGGATTTTATTTTTAAATTCTTTCAACTTATTATTTTTATTTCTTATTTTATCTTGTATTCTGTGTTCGGTTACATATTAATTGTTTGATATCCTTCAGGTTTGGACCTGGGCTTGATCAACCCGTGTCTCAGATCCGAGGGGTATCACAAAAATTAAAAGTGCTATTTTATAATTTTTCAATTCTACTCAAATAGTAAATAAAAGATTCAATTTAAAAAAAAAAAAAAAAATTACCAAACATATTTTCTCTTTTATTTTTTTAAAAATTCAACATCAGATCGATAAACATTAACAAACGTATTTAGTTTCGACAGAAATGATTGTGCATCTTTTTAAAAATGTCATTTTCACATAAATGAAAGCAATGCCAAAAACAAAAATCACAGCTTTACCAAAAACGCCTGAGTAAGCACTTTTGATCAAAAAGAGAGAAATTTGGATTTAAACAAACGTTTGAACATAGAGAAATGCTTAAAAATTATTATTATAATTATTATTTTGTAAATGGGCAAGAAACTCTACATTTCTAAATCTCAATTATATTTGACACTTGGTTTGGATGATTAGAAAGATATCCAAACAAAATTATAAAATTAATTATGAAAGAAAAAGTTTTAAAAAAACACTAGAGAGAACGATATTAAACTCTTCTTGCAATTCGATAATTAGGAGAACAAGAAAAGAAAGAATAGTTCTAACCTTTAAACATATTTGACAAAAAAAAATTAATAAAGTGAAAAAAAAATATAATTATTTTATTTTGTGAGTACCTAGTGTGATCGAATTCACTTTTTGGGGACGGAGAGGGCTGGTAATTATTGATTCTCATATTATTTTATTCCTAATCCTCCCATTTAAGACTATTCATTCCAACATTATATTATCCTTCAAGGCATTATAATGAACTCCTTCCTTCAATAACCATTTCCTACTAATTATTTTTATTTTTATTCTTATTTTTATTATTTTTTTCCCCAGTTCGCTCAATTCAAACGAGGTTTCAACCTCTTCATCTTTTTCTTGGGATAATATTTATATTAAGTTATTATAATTTTATTTTTAACTTAGTTATTATAATGACTTAATGGCGCTAAGTAATGTACAATAATATGGTGCATGAATTTGAATTCCTTTCTTTGTACAGGCTTCTTCCTTACTTGTGACTTTGTCAACTTGATGAATGACAAATTTTCGAGGGTTGGTGAAGTCACAGCTAATTTTGACCATTTAAATAATGTATACAGTGACATATTTGACCATTAAATAAGTAGAGTCTTGTTTATTCAAGTTTAGTTTTTAAATATAAAATAAATATATATTTTTTGACTGAATTCTTATAAAACCGATCTCAAACCATTCGAAATTATAATTTTTTTTTTTTGCCCCAAAATTTATTCGAAAATAGATTGGATTCAAGTATGTCACAAAGTCCACGATCATTACGTTTCAACAGCCATTTCGTCTATATTACATGAAAAATAATATTCAGAATTTATTGATAATTTCCACGAATCTTCTACCATGATAGTGTTTTGTCATTCACCTAATAATAAAATCAATCCTTGCAAATATTCCTTCTCTCTTTCTTTAATTCATTGCACTTGAGCTACAAAAGTCTGTCCATATAACGTTATCTGGCCGGCGATGGATCCCCGGAAACGGTTGAATCCAAACCGGCCGCCGCCAGGTATTCAGAACGGGGAGGCAGCGGGTCTTTGGAACATGCTGCCGGCGGGTATTGGGAACATTGCCCAGGGATACATCGACCGGGTGCTTCCTCCTCCTCCACCACCGCCGCCACCACCGGTCATTCAGATATATATTAAGAACGTGGAGGTGAAGGTCGAAAGGGGCAAGGAGAAGGATCGAGGCCATGTTCATCATGAAAATTATGCTAAGGTAAGGGGTGTGGTACCATTATGTGTTTGTATCGGTATTGCTTTTAACATGTATGAAGCTTGTCTTTGTTAAATTTATCTAATAAGTGCACAAGGTACGTAGCATATTGGAATTTTAGTTCAATTTTGTGTTCTTTTTAATTTGGAGATTTTTTACATGTTCATATTTGAGTACTCTTACATTTGGATGATAGATATATACATATTTTCAGTATTTCAATCACCGAAGTTTAACACGAACGCTTAATTAGTGATGAATAACGACAAATCCCTCTTTTGTCAATTTGAGGAAGTGATTGCTAGCAGTGTCATTGACGAAGCTCTTCCTGTGGACAACTAGCTAGTTTACTTCATATTACATGATGCCTGCACATAATTAAATAAATAGCTTCAATTCTTTTGCAATTGCATAGTTTTACCATAATTCAGGAAGCCTTAAGAACAAAAGGATTAATAAGTGAGGTAGTTTTTTCTATGATTATATTTCCAAGACGAGAATGAACTACATGTGGAAGAAGATGAACTCGATACATGTGAGAACGACGAGTTGATTGAAGAATAATTGTTTTTTTAACCAGTCGGAAATTAGACACAACAAGTTTAAGATCTGTTGGTTTATAATGTTTTCTTCCATAACCCTGTATTTTTTCTTTATTTTCATACTGTTTACAATTAAATATATAGGAACATGGTGGAGGAACAGGCACGCGAAAGTCAACAACGTCGGGGGGCCAAGGTTCCCATTACCTCACACAACAGGTTGTTGAATTTTCATTTCTAAATGATTTAATGCTTTATTAATTTATTTATGTAGTTCATCATGTATAACTTGTTTGTGAATTAGTCACAAACTCATGCAAAGCATAGCTCAATGACAAGCTCAAAGCAAAGTGGAACCGGAAATACAAGCATGAGGAGTAGTACCACAAGCTCAAAACAAAGTGGAATGAGCAACACCAGTCAGAGTAGAACTACGACGGGTTCGGAGAGAGGTCAATCAAGTAGCACAACAAAGGTAATTTCACATGCCCTAACCTAGACCATTTCAACTTAGGACTAAATCAATTAATTCACGAGAGGTCAATGTGATCACAGATTGAAAAGGTTAAGGACAAATACAAGGACAATATGAAGAGTAAAAAATTAAATGGTGGTGCTGAAAGGACCTTTTTCTTTTTCGTTTTTTTTCGAAAGTTGTGCTGAAAGGGCATTTGTTAGAGGCTGAAAGGGCATTTGTTAGAGGTAGAGGCGGGGGCGGGGGCGGGGGCGGGGGCGGGGGCATTATTTGGTGACGGAGGCATAGACATTCAATCGCATGGTGGAAGTGATCATGAGTTGTGCTAGTGTGTGCGTTATTATTTGGAGTAACTTTTTAACTATACTCTTTTTAGTGTTTGTATTGTCATTTATATTTTAGCAGTTAATTTTTATTCATGTGAGAATTTTTAGAAATGTGTGTGAATATAACTTGTCTGTAATGTGTCTATATGTATCACATTAGACGCAATATGTGAATGTCAACTATATGTTTTTTTTTTTTTTTGGAAAGATATCTTACATGATTATACAAAAGTCATATACCTTAAAACATGGTAGTTGCAGGCCAAACCTATGAAGGCTAGGTGCTTGCAATAACGTATCCTTTAATGGAAAACTTGATCTAACGTATTTTTATGGTGATGGTGCGTAGCCTGCACAATAGTTTGGTAGTGTGTATGAACTAAAATATCTACCACAACTTTTGTGAAGTGGTGTGTAGTGCAACCCATCAACCATTGTGTCTTGATGGTGAACATGCAAATTTATAAAATACAGGATGTGACTATTAAAGAAGTAAAAGTCACTTAATATAGAAAAGGTGCGAGACACCACCTTTGTCTATGAAGAGACACGACCAATTCAAGAGACACGACATTTGTCTATAAATACCCAACCCCCAAGGCTGCATTACATATTCTGAATTCACAGATTCTATGTGAATTCTCGTACTTCTCTCCCTATCTCTTAAACCCAAGTGGGTTCAAATCCATTGGTCTAGTGGTTCGAACCATTAGACCAAACATTTATAGCAATGAGCCAGATTAAAATTGGTCCGAGCCCTTTGGTTCTAGTGTACCAATTTCATCATTTTATATTATAGATGCATTTTTTGAGTCATAGAGAGTATTACACAGAGGAGATTCGCCATATCCATGCATTTGGAGTGCTACTACTGGTGGATGTAGACCGTTGTATCCTGGGAGACAACCGTCACAGGGTCTGTCAGCACCATACGGGGCATAAATTATCTGAAGGATATAATATACAATATTAGCCTCGGTCCAGGTTCTCTATTTATTATTATTATTTTAATGCATTATTCTGCATATTTAATTAAATATTAAGTTGCATACTTAATTAGTTATTTTCTAGCACATTAATTATCTAATGGCATATTAGTATAAGATTAGTTATATCTTAAATATCTTTTGAAACATATATTTTTCAACAAATAAGATATGAGCGAAACATTTCTAGGAAAAAGGATTATGTCCTTCTCTCTTTTTATTTGGTGGGATAGAAAAGAAGAGAAAGATATAATACCATATTTTGTTTGTTATGAGAGAAAAAAATAAAGTATGAATGATAAGGAACGTTTTGTAATTTAATTTTTTTTACATAGGGATGACAATTTCTCCCGATCCGATGGGTTTTCGCCCCGCTCCACGCCCTAACGGGGCAAATTTGGTAGTCTCCTAAATTGGTTTGGGACGGATATGATAAAATAATTAAAAACCCGAAGTGGGTTTGGGGCGGAGGTAGATTAAGTGATAAACAAATCCGCCCCGCCCCTGTCCCAAATTATATTTGTACCTTTAAAAATTATATATATATATATATATATATATATATATATATATATTTAATATTTTTGAAAACCTTGTTACTTTTCTGCAAGCGTCAGTTAATATATTAATATTCATTACTTAGTGATTTAAAAGTTAGATCAACTTATTTATCAACTCAATTTGAGCATATTGTGCTAGTTTTGTTTTACTAAATAATAAATGTGGCATAACCCGCCCCGTGTAGTAATTTAAAAGTTGGGCAGCTTATTTATCAGTCCAATTTGAAAACATTGGGGTTTTTTTTTTTTTTTTTTTTTTTTTTTTTTAACTAAATAATAGAAGTGGCATATATAACTCACTTGCGCCAACAATTAAACAGAGACAGAATGACAATTACGAACTCGCGGCGGAATAAGGGCGAAATTGGCATGACGAATTTCTTAACGGGACGGAGTAGGGTTTAGCTAACTTCACCCCGTTGCTATCCCTACTTTTACAATAGTCTTATCTTTTTTTTGCTTTGCATGTTCGAGCTATATTTGAAAGATGAAAGTTTGTAATTGAAGAAGGATGATCCATCTATCCTTTTTTTCTTTTCTTTTTTTTCATTTCCTCATCTTTTCCAATCTGTCCATCTTTCTTTCCTCCCGGTAATCGAAAGATTAGAATCTAGCATGATTCCCACGTTGACATGATCAAGTAAGTGCGTGCTCTGGGCTTTGGCCCTATGTATAGTAATGCTCTTAGTTTGTGACAAGGTTTGGTCGGGCATTTGACCCATGTCTCTTCGAACATTTTGAAGTGTATTGTAATTACTTACTCCATTCCGACGAAAAAAAAAAAAAAAAAAAAAATTTTTTTCGAAAATTTTTTAAGAGGATGATTTTTAAATTTTTTATATTATATTGATAGTTAATGAATTATTATTATTTTTTTAATAAATTAAACACAAGAAAGTTAAATTAGTATATATTTTAACTTTTTTATTACAATATTTATTTTAGAATAGCTCAAAATGAAAACGAAAAGGCAAAGGTAGAGACTTTAGTTGTGTCAGGAGCTCTGTTATACATAGAACAAATTAGGCCCACTCATTTGCATAGTCAGTGTTGTAACTCTAATGACGTCACTCAAACTTAACTATGAAGGAAGTCGAAATAATCTCCTGTGTATACACTTGTACCAAGTAGCTGTGTAAATGTTCTCTCTCTGTGTAAGTGTTCTCCCTCTTGATTCTTTTGCCTTGTGTCAATTCATATGTTCCCCGTATTCACGACCAGCTCCAATTATATGACAAAGCACAAACCTTCTGATTGGTTTGGAAAAAGGTAAAGAGAAAGTAAGAAAATAAGAGTACTATATATTAAAACTTTACTGTATTTTAGAATTCATTGATAATTTCCACGAATCTTCCGCTACAATGGTACGGTGTTCTCTGATTAAACGAATAATATAATCCATCCCCTTCCTCTTATCTTCCTTCTCTCTGTCTCTAGTTCAGTTCCTTCTCTTTTACATATATCTCTGTACGCACATATTCATACTTCAAATATGATGGATCACCGGAATCGGTTGAATCAGCACCGTCCGAACGCGATGAACTGCAGGCAACTGGCGGGTCGTCCGAACAGGCCGCCTCCTCAGTCGGCGGATGTTTGGAGCGGGCTGGCTGCGGGTATTAGGAGCGGGCTGGCGGAGGGTATTGGGAACGGGCTGGCGGCGAGTATTAAGAACGTTGTCCAGGTATACCTCCCGCCACCGCCACCGCCAACACCGCCGGCTGTTGCCGTAAAGATAAATGTTAACAATCTCGTGGTGAACGTCCCGCGGGGGAGGGAGAAGGATCGAGGCCATGTTGTTCAGAACAACCGGGCTAAGGTAAGGCGTGGTTGTATGTGGCTGTATTTGCATTGGTTTTTAACCTCGCCCGAAAATCGAGAGAATATATGACCCGACACATCGTGCGTGTTATATACTCGATGTCTTGTACACGGCTGCACCGTGCACATCCAATCCCTACTTCTAAGATCTCTTTACTAAATTGATTTGATTAAGTGGACAAGGTACCTACCGTATTGAAATTTCAGTTCAATTCCATGATTTCTTGTGATCATTTTGACTTTCAAAGTTGTGTTCTTCATTTGGGGATTTTTTTACATATTCATGTTTTTATAGGTGAATTAATTGAGGAAGTGATTGTGCTTTAAACGGGACTTGATTCTGTTTTTGTTGTGTTCCACAAGTAAATCACTTTATAGCTACCCTCCCGTTAGAGGAGCTTGTCTTACATCAGATCTGAATTAAAAATAGATTATGCTTGACCCCTTAAGTTTTTGAGTTAAAGTTTTTATTTTAACTTTAGAATAATTAGAGAAGGAGATCCAATTCTTTTCCAGTAATTGCATAGTTTCACCATAATTCAGAGATGCCTTAAGAACAAAAGGATCAATAAGTGAGGTAGTTTTTTCTATGATATTGAAGAAGAAGATGATAGAAATAATGTGAAGGACGATGATTACTTTATAAAATGCATGCCTATTTGATACATGTGAGAATTTATTGAAGAATAATTGTTAATTTCTTTTTCTTTTTTTTTTTTATTTAAAAAATGCTAGAAATTTATGTTAGACCTGAAAAGTAAAAGATCTATTGGTTTGTAATGACTTCTTCCATAATCATGTATTTTTACTTTATTTACATTGAATATAGGAACACCGTGGTGGAGGAACAGACGCGCGAAGGTCAACAACGTCCGGGGGCCAAGGTCCCCATTCTTTCAGACAGCAGGTAGACTTGAATTTTCATTTGTAAATGATCGAGTAATGTTTATTTAAGCAGTTCATATATCCTAATTAAGCTAAGTTTGGTTGCAAATTGTTTGTAAATTAGTCACACACTCATCATACAAGTCATAGCTCAACGACAACCATGAAACAAAGTGGAACAGGCAATACAAGCACGAGGGTTACTACAAACTCTATGACAACCTCAAAGAAAAGTAGCACAAGACAGGTAATTTCACATGCCCTAACTTGGAGCATTTCAAATTGGATTAAATCAATTAACTCACAAGAGGTAAATGTGATCACAGATTGAGAAGGGCAATAGAAAGGGTAATAACATCAAATAGTGGTGCTGGAGCTGGAGGCAGAGGCAGGGGGACATTACGTGGATCTGGAGGCGGAGACTGGCGATCACATGGTGGAAGCCACGCTCAATTTAAGCCAATAAATTAAGTATTTTGCTATGTACTGTACTATTTGTAGCGATGATGGTTTGAACATTGCAATTGTTTTGTCTAACCAATGAACCTGTGTTGTCTTAATACAAGTACTGTTTGGTTCACTAATTATGTTTTGACTATTCGATCAAAATTCTCTCATTTGTTCGAAGAGCAGTTTATTGGGCTAAGGAGTTCAAATTTCAGGTACCGTGCTTTGAATCAGACGCCAAGATTGTTGTTGATTCCTTGGCAGGGACGCGCGTGTGTGCGCGCGCCCCATTGAAATGCTTCTTTAATTTATGGCATTCAGTCAGTGCCGCAATTCCTGTCATGGTATTCGGTAAATCATATTCCGCGCACTGGATTCTTTCTTGTCTTTCTCCTGCAATCTTGCGATTGATGGAGCCTGATAGGCTTGGGGCTGGGTGCTAGTTCTTGTGTTTGTTGTTTTGTGTGCCAGGAATAAATAAATAAATAAAGAAAAAAAAAAACAGCTTTATACATTTTCACGTAGTCATTTAATCTTGTTCCAAAACATGGGAGGTTGATGAGTTGATTGTCAAATGGTTTGTGGTTGTCACCACTTCAGTGGCTGGTAATATGCTTAAACTTAGCTATTAAAGCATTAGTTTTAGTGATGCCATTAAGATCCACCACATTGTAATGCAACCCTCTTTTATATTGGAGATATAGAAGCGTACAATTGGTAACATAGTGTATATAAGCAAGTACTTCAATTGAAGAGGGAGATATTTAAGTCCATGGCTTGATGGCTTGTTAACTCGTGAAGGTCGGGGATGGTGGAATAGGATGTGAAAGTTTGTATATCAAGCCTGTTCACTCGTGAAGGTCGGGGATGGTGGAATAGGATGTGGAAGTTTGTATTAAAAATAACACAGAAGGATGGTGAATAGGTTTCACTTACTATTTTATTCAATTTTTACTTATTTTAATTTTACCGAAATCAAACTAAATCAAACCCACAAAGCAAAAATAAAGCGCAAGTAAAGTAAATAAAGTTTGAGGGATGACACCAAGATTTTTAGTGAGGAAATCCCGATTGATGGAAATCAACCAATCGTTATGGGAAAAACCTCGTGGACTGTATAGTTGAGAACAAAACGATCCATTATATTTGAAGTAAAGTATACTGAACTTTGACTCAGGCTCACACCCTATCATTCAACTAAAAACCAATCCTTGACAATCCTTGACTTTGCGACTCTCCCGTCCAACAGTTCTCGACTTCTGACTTACTCTTGATCTCTGTAGAAGGATTGCTAGTAGATCAAACAACACTCCTCGAATGCTTTGATCCCTTCAAAGTATGATCACTTTACCCTTTTTCTTCAAATCTGAATTTGGTGAAGAATGAAAGAATTCTACTTTTCGGATTCTCTGAATCTTCAATTATGCTCCAATTCTGATGAGATTGTAACGACCCTTAACTGATACCATTTTTTTAAAAAAAAAAAAAAATTCGGCATAACCTCCCCGAAATATGGACCTACCGTAACCTGTTTAAATACATTCTTAACCTGTCATGCAACTGATTTCTGAATTCACGGCAACAGTATATGATCATACATAGTCAAATAACACCGATAATTACTTTAACCAAAATTATCATTCCCATTCATCAACAAGGTTACATGCTATCAAATTCCCATCCAAAATACCATCAAATACCTTAGTTACATTACATGACAAAGTTTTGCAAAATATATATATATATATATATTACCTTTACACTTTTAGTGCTTTGCAAAAATAATGGGGAATATACAAAAGACACAAAAGTGAGCTTCTAGTATCGCTCAAGCTTGAGGTGGGTTGTCGTCCACCAGTTCTTTTCCAAGACCTGAAAAAAAAATGTATAAATAGTAGGGTGAGCTATATGCTTAGTAGGTGACACTTAAGACACAAATCTTGTGTCCTTGTGAATTCAAGCAAAAAATAGGCCAATGGGAAATAGGGATCATTCAACGTAGGGGATCTTATACAACACACAAGTCATTTCCCAATATAATCAATGCAATGCAATGAATGCAAATGCATGCCAATGTCCCTCCCCATTTTCATTCTCGAAACCATTACTTTCAAATGTTAATGTAACCCCCTTTGGTAACTCCGCCGTGACGAGAGAAAGATTGGCTACCGTCCCTAGGCCTTTGGTGACTCCGCAGCGCCGTCGAGGGGCCCGAATAGCTCAACCACGCTAGGGTACTCTCCTTAGTTCCCTCTAGGTTACATTAACCTACCGGCCCGTTGGTAACTCCGCAGCGACCGAGTTTATCAAAACCATTTCACAAAAACCATCATCTCCCAAAATTCCCCATTTCATTCCATTGACAAATTCACCCCTTTTTATGCATCCCAATGACATGAGCATGCATGTATGTATATGTGACATGCCTTCAATATTATAACATACAAAATTTTACTCCATAACTTAAACATATAACATGTCAACATATTCGAATGGAGTAACAACACAATTAAGCACAACATAATACATTTAGGCATATATCATGTTCATCATCTTCAATTAAATCAACAACACATTTAACATCACAAAGCTACAATCTAGACATACTTTTTACATGGAACCAATCAAAATGAAAGTCATGAAATTCTCTAGACCACATTTAAGAAATCATCAACACAAAAAAAATCTCAAGTAGAGCATGTTAGCACATAAGAGATACATAATTCACAATGGGACAAGAAGTAGATGGATTAAGATGCCCCTACCCCGAAATCAAGCGAAATCCCTAGAAATGGGTTTCAAATTCGCACTCCAATAGGTGCCCAAAGCTGGAAATTCATGGTATGGATGTATAGAGCTTGACACGAGCTTCGTTTTGCCTCAAACGGCCCCTCAATCCGATAAGCGATGAGTGAGAAATCAAAATCCAAAGTTTGGTTCACAAGTGAAAAGAAAAAGAAGAGAGAAAATGAGAGAGCAGAAGGGCTTACGGGAAAGAGAGAGTGAGAGAGAGAAATGGGTTTCTCACCCATTTTGTGGGTGGGTGGTGTGGCCCACTTACTTTAATTTTCTTTTCTTTTTTTTTTCTTTTTGCTTAATTTACACCACATATACATAAAATACTCCTCTAAATAAATGCTACATCATCACACAAATTAAATTCCATAAAATAAAATTGGACCCAACAACAATTCCGGACGATAAGTGAAAAGACGAAAATGCCCTTGCTGCGAAAAATTCCCAGAAAAAAATGAAAAATGCTAAAATTTGGAAGCATCACAATCTACCCTCCTTAAAGAGATTTCGTCCTCGAAATCTATTCTCCTTAAAGAAGAAGCACAACAGTCACCCATCCTCCAAGAATACCCTTCAAAACTCCGAAACTATGAATCCACCTACATTATTACCTTTGACGTCGAACGTCAACAAGCAATCACAATCTGTCGTCAGAAAAGCCTAATGATCACCACCCTAGGAGGGTACTCACCATTCACAACATTGAATACTAAACCTGCTGAATTCTATACTTGACTTAAAACTAACACTGGTTCTCTCTATACTGTTATACAAGGCTCGAAAGAACAATGATCCTAAGACCCCTAGTCATGATCACATCCTATCTTAACTCGTCCCTTTAAGGGACAACCCATACCCCAACGAGGATCAGACTTAATCTCAGATCATCACATCATTATCAAACCAACACCTGTCATCAATCATACGGCTATACAACTACATAATCATACGATAACCACCAATCACACTAATCAATAATTATCATACTAATCAACCTCAAGATAATTAAATAATAAATCTCTCAACAAGCATAAAATCGCGAGCCACCGAAATAATAAAATGCACCACCTTGTACTCTGAACACATGTCATCAAATCGAAATCCTCAATAATCAATGATTGTACCATAAACCTGCTATCAAACACCCAATACCATTTAACACTTCTCGTCACCCAAAATAACTTATGAAAGTCCATACTGTCACATCAGCACCACACACTATATTATACTCTCACTATCACTAACAAGTCGGAACGATCATTGACCTTTGACCCGATATCGTGCCAAGAAAGGATCGATTCAGGAGAAATGGTTGGCCTGGCCATTCTCAAAACAAACACTACCAAAAACCAAAGACTAAATAATCCTCCTATGGAGGTAAGTCGACCCCTTCAGTCAGAACCTCAATTGATGACCCCCAATGAAGCAACACCTGCTCACCAATCCATCTACCCACAACCGCGCACAACTCCTAGTCAGAGACAAGACTCATAACAACTATCGTCCTAGTCAGGACTAAAACAAACGAAAGGAGCTAGTGAGCCTTGAGTTCACAAGAGACTAATGACCCGCACCTGAATGCAACCGACACCCTGTCACATGCTACTCATCAATCGTCTAGTTATAGACACCTAATCCCACCCGAGATGAAAAGAACTCCTTACGTACAAGGGAAAGAACTAACTGAAAACACATAAGAGATTGCGAATACAACCTAGGTGACCTCGCCACTAATAGTCTATCAAACACACACACGAAACCTCACATACGACACATCGCAATACTTATACCAACCAAAACCGACTGACAAGAGTACTCACTCCCACGATACACTAACGTTAGAAACAATCACAACCTTTTGAACGTCAAACCCCATTCTACTCAAATTCAATCATTCCCAAATGACAACCTCAAGGTTATAAAATAAGATCTTACTACCTATTCCACCTTCTCCCTTCAAAACGACATTACCTCAAATATCGTGCACACAAGACCCCTGTCCACAGTCATAACAATCCACTGACTCCTCAAAAGAAAGGTGCCTATCCGGTAGCACCACTCCCATTGGTTCTAAAAACTCAACTATCCACAATCACCTTAACTAGTGCACAATCCCATCACCTACCTATCAACACACAACAACAGTTTATAATCTCTCCAATCCATCCGCGGATCATACCTTAAACTATACTGCTTATCCGCACTAAACATCACACCATAACACCTCTACTGTCACGCCTTCCATCAACAGTTCAAACCTCTTATCCCATCGGATCATCCAATCACTATTAATGACTTTTCCTCAAACATCCTTAAAACAAATCATCGCAACAAAAGAACA